GTGTGTGTGTGTGTGTGTGTGTGTGTGTGTGTGTGTGTGTGTGTGTGTGTGTGTGTGTGTGTGTGTGTGTGTGTGATTGGTTGTGATTGCTTGCATGAATGAGACCGACAGTCACGTTGACACTGCTTCCTTACGTGCAATGTTGCACTTGTGTTTGGCTTCCATCTTTTGTCACTTCAGTGCCAAGCTACAGAGTATGTCCTCAAATCAGGGCTCCTTGTGTTTTCACTAGTTCACTAAACCGAAGAACATTTGGGATGTTTTGGCATCTGTAATATGTCCTAACCTTTTATCGAAAGCATTTTGCCTATCACACACATCGCTTTTCTGCTATCGAACCCTCCCTTGCGCCCTGCAAAAAGGAGTGTTGTCATCAATGCGCACGCAGTTTCTAGTTGACGCGCACTAGCGGTGGCTTGATTGGTTACATTTTTGTGTCTGCGCAAGCCACAAGCGTCGTCGTTTTCCATTTGTTTACAAAACACCACCACCGCTGAACACAGCTGTATCATAAGACCTCGGCCGGAACCGTGTATCGGTATTTTTTATTTGCATTTCCCGCCAGACATGAGTGAAGAGGACGTGCTGGCCATGGTGTTGGAGCAGTCCCGCAGCGACTACGTCAACAGCCTCCGTGCCGCTGCCTCGAAATCCCCTCAGAGTCCGTTTTACCGCGAGGAAAGAGAGGAAGAAGGCGACTTGTCTCCAGGTCCTGTCCACGATCCGCAAAGCCAGCCCACGGCCCAGTCCTACTTCCGCGGACAACTCGATGCCAACGAGGCCACGTCACCGGGGCAGCAGTGCGAACGGGAAGAGGGTGGTGGGTGTTAGGCGTAACTTTCCAGCCCCCAAGTACTAACTAGTCTTTCCTTTAGCCCGGCAATGCGCTTTGTAAATATCCGTGAATATTTAGATGCACCTCAAGTGTGTGTTATGCGCCATATAATAGTATTCCGCGAGTACTGTGTGTCGTTTTTCCTGTCAGCGCTAATATCCCATGCATCCAATTCACCACGTACCTTCGACCAGGCTTTTTTCCTCATTTTGGTGGTCGGACGGGCGAAAACCACGGGGATTCGGCCGGTTCATCGACTCAGTTTTTAGCAGTGAACATTGGCGTCTAGTTATGCAGCCATACCAGGACCTCTTTAAGGTTCCTAATTTAATTTTAAGAAATCCAATTAACGCTTGTTAGCAAACAACTTTAAGTGCATATTAGAAAGAAGAGAGTTGTGATTGGGTGTAGTACTCGTGAACATTTGCTGGGAGTGCCAGCCAGTAATTGTGTATGGGATGCCTTGTGAGCGTCGGGTATTTACGTGTCGTCAAAATCACATTTAATCAAACCGAAATCTGGTCCTTTTATTGGCCGTGGTGTGCGCGTGCGACGGTGATTTGCGAGCTTGTGTGAACAGTGAGTAGTCGTGGTGTGTGGGAGCCAGTGACCCGTTCAGACAAGCTTCGGGCGAATCTGAGACACTTGTGGCAGCGACTACCTGCTCGAACGTGGTCACAGGAGGTAGAGCAGGGACGGACCAACCAGCGACTGGCATTTGTGTCGTTTAGCGAAATCCAGAAACATGTCGGTTGACGACTAACCATAAAGCTTTGGATACGGTGGGGCCGACTATTGGGCGTTTATCTGCCATGTTTACGGCCCTAACGCGGAGTGCGGTGACTCAATCCTTTCCAGAAGCGTCCGCCCAACGAACAGAAATAACCGCAGCATCCAAATAAGGAGTAGTTTTATTATTATTGAGAACTGTCTCAATTGGAAGCATCCCGCGTTTGTCGTAACATGTTTTGGACTACTAAATTAGGAGGGTGTCCATTTGCGGCACGTGAATGCGCAAGTTCACATGTCCGTACATGACCTCACTCGGTAAGGTTGATTCCGGAATCTGGCCTTGACTTCGCTTGACCAATGAACTAATGGCAGTGTGGATTGGCTAGGACTACATTCCAACAATTAAGCCAATTAATTTCCCTTAGTTGATTGGTCATCTCGTGAGTTGCAATATAAATGGCACAGCAAGCTCGCAGGAAACCCTCTTTTTCCGACGAACTCTTGTTTAGGCGCTTCAGAATTGTTGAGGAAACGTTTACGGAAAAAAAGAAACTGGATAGCTTAATTTGGTTTAATGGCATCAGTAGGTGAATTTTTACGCCAGAAAGGTTTTTCTCACGCTGGGTTATCACAGAAGTCGTGCTTTCGCAATTGCCATAACAATTTACGCTGACCAATAGGATTGAAGAAACCAACACCTACACAATGACTCACTTCTAATAAACCTTATTAGAGAATAAGCATCCTTATAGAGCCCGCTCATTGTGTATAGAGAGCTATTTGAATGAAGATACGTCCAACCTGATCATATTGCGTAGATTCCAGAACCCAATTCCCTGCTTTATAGACGAGTTGAAGTTAGGTATTACCGGTTTCCGGGTCACCAACCGCCAATTGGATGTGCCCAGCCCCAGCTGAAGAAAAGTTAAAAAGGTTGTGGAAGTGATCATGAAGCACTCCAATTCGGTAGCATTGCATAAAATTAACATCTACCAATGAATGATCGATTCTCAACAATGTTTAATTTTTTACCCAAGAGCAGTGTCAACTAATGGAAATTCGCAATAGCAGTCGCACATGCATTTGGTAATCAGTCGTAGTGCACTAAATTGTAAGAATCTCGACAAATATGAGAGATCCAGGGCAGTACACAAAATGGCAATAATCAGATTGACTAAGATAATCAGCTTGATGCAGCTGATGTGGAAATTTTGTGCAATCGTGGACACTAGAGATTGTAACAGAGGTCAAACTGAAATAAAATAAGAGGTTTTTACAAAGTTAATGTAGTTCCGTGTGAGCTATCAAGTATTAAATTATTACAAGCTTTAGGTGCACAACAAATATTTTGTCATGGTTAGATTACAAAATAGTTTGTTTTTGGACTGATTCAGTCTTGGTGCTAATAGTGTGCCAAGATCAACATGTTCACGGATTTTAAACGAACACTTGTCTGATAGCTCTAGATGAGTCATGGCTATTGAAGCCACCAAAAATCAAGACGTAGACAAATGATTCAATGCATGCAATCTCTGATGTGACAGATTACTTTAGTATATCTTAGCTAAAGTAATTTATTTGTAAGTCGCAAAAGATCATCAGAGCAACTCAATAGCACTCAAATAATCCACGTGTCAGAATGAGAAGTTTCCAGGTATAAACAAGGTCAAATGTAGCCCCAGCAAAGCCGTTAAAGGTAAATATGTGTAAGTAAAAGCAGTTACTTAATAGATTGATCTAAGTTATCAGTAAAAGGTAAAAGTTAAATTTATTAGGAAAGCCTGTGACAAAAATGGATATGTTGCATAATTTCAGTGACGATGACGAAGGTTTGATAAATGGAACTAAAAATTTAGATTCCAAATGCATCCAATTACCAACAGAAATATTGGAAGAGACCTGAAGTAATATGTCAAAATTATTGTGAAACGACACAGGACATAGCAAAAATTGTCCTCGGCATTGAAGGTACGTGTCTAAACCATAATAGATTGTCAATTAATTTCTATAAACGTGCAACGCCTCTGGTTACAAATAAGCAGCCTCAGTAAAAAAAGGAAAAAAATTCCGAGGATTAAAAATCGCAAAAGGAATGTTAGAAAAACGACCAATGGTGCCAGTAAATCCGTCTGCCTGATGATAATAATTCCGTCTTCGTGATTAAATGACGTACTTAGAGGACACATTATATTACATATATGAAAATGAAATAAAACCAAATCAGGACAAGTAAATGCATGAATCTGGAGAATTTATGGGATCATATGTGTTTTCTGTTTTTAAATTATTTTTGCAAGTACTTGGAAACCTGGGCATTTTGGCTTGCCAGCTGCAATCAAATTATAATTAGCTTAATAATTTAGAAAGCACACGCATATAATAATAAGCAAGGAGTTTCCACCATAATAACCTTAAGTTTGTGGAACATAATTAAAATGATTGTGGTAACCTTAATTTGATGACTCATTGTTTTAGGCGCATCTTTCGAATATCCGCTCGAGTATGGCCTCTCCTCCTTTGGATTGCTCAATAGAAGAAGTCGAGCGTCTTCAGAGCTCACTGAAGGAGGCTTTGCGTGAAAAGTATGAGGCCGCACAATATGGATTAAAGTTATTGGAAGAAAAGGAGAGTCTACAGTCTAAACTGGAAGAATCTGAAGAAAAACTCGTCCACCTAATGCGTGAGCTACAGTTGACCCGGGAGGTAAACCACTTCATCTGATTGGATTGTTTAGAAATGTGATGAGCAAAGTGAGCTTCAGCGAAAAATAAGCCAGGCAGGATTCCAGGAGGAGGATGACCTGCTTAGCCGGTCTGCCAATCGTGAAGAACAGCTTTCGCACCGCATTAAAGATCTCGAGCACGATTTAAAATCTACCAAAGCGAAATATGAGAATCAGATGGCGGAAAATGATAAATTACATCAGATTATGAAGGATCTTCAGGCAAAATATGACAGCGTTGAGAAGATACGACAGGACTTAAAGCAGGAAATGAAAGGGATGAAATCCAAGGAGGCTCAACTGCTAAGTGAATTAGACGAACTCGAATCAGAAAACTTGGAATTGCAAAAGAACGTGCTAGCTTTGAAGACCAGTCAGGTAAGTTGTTTATGGTGCTGTCAACCTCTATTAGATTGAATTTGAAAGTCTTAAACACGAACTGAAGCGAGGCCAGGAGGAAAATGACTTAATCCATGTTCAGCTAGAGGAAGTCACTAGACTAAAGCGTATTACAGAGAAGTCTCTAGAAGAGGCCCTAGAATCCTTACAAATCGAGCGTGAGCAGCGCCACAATTTAAAAAAGGAACTTGACAGTCGCTTGGCGTACGAATCTTTTTATCACCTGAACTCCATTCAAAATGGCTTAGCTCAAGTGTCCCAGTCTCAACTACTCAATCAGACCAATTCAAGGAACGCATCGATTTTGGAAACATCTAAATCAGGTAGGCCCGTCTTTGTTCTACCATCACAATTTCATTGGCCAATTAATCTGACTTGTTTATCTTGCCTAGTAGAGCTTGGTATTGCCATAGAAAGTGGATGTGCTCCTGTAATTTATGCGGTTGTTTGTGAGATCCGGGACTCATTACGTATTCACTTTTGTGCAAACACAATTTTTGCCTTACTGACCGATGCTTATTAATACCTTGATACCGTATCTCAATCAGCTCTAAATATGTTTGTGAAGCAGGGACATTCTCTACTTCGTTCTGATGCAAATTTCCCGATTTGCTTTCACCTCTTCCTAATGTATATTCCCTGCCACAAACTCCCGAACGGTGGTGTGATGAGGTAACATTAAGCTGACTATGCGTTTAGTCATCGTTTGCATGCCACTTATCATGTTTGTTTTTTTTCCTGTGAAGATTGGGTAGTTTTTAGCTCAGGTCATTCAAAAGGCTGTATGTAGTCGTCATGTGTTTTGACGTTTATGTGTAAGGCCATTGTCGCTGTTTTAAATGTGACTCCTAATTTCACTCGTAGTCTCCTTGGTGACCAAATCGCACCCAAAGAAGCTTAGTTCTAAGTACTTCCATTTTGCGCAGCTGATGTTGGTGGACAGAAGAGTGCAGCAGCTGGGGAGAACCTCCTTTCGGAGTTGCAAACTAGCGAACTGACCCAGTTCAAGGCCGAGCTTGCAGAGCTCCAACGCAAGCTGGAGGAGGCTCAACGCTCCGCCGAGGTGGCGTCAAGTGAAGTGACGAGCAAACAGGAGCGTATCACCCAACTGCAGACCGAGCTAGACATCATCATGGGCGTCCAGCGTCGAGCGGACGCCGAATTCGAGGCGAAAAACGAGGCCAACGGCGCTGACACCGCTGATGATGACCTCGGGTCGAGGCGGGCGCTGCGCCAAGCCGAAACGCGTTACTCGGTGGCTCTTCGGCAGATCGCCAGCATGCAGCACGACCTCTGGCGTTACCAGGAGCTGGAGAGGATGAATGCGGATCCCGCACTCACCGACGACAAGGGCCTCAAAGCGGAGGTGCTGCGTTTGCGCGAGCAACTCGAGAAGAAGGCGAGTGACATTAAAAAACTCGAGGACAGGATCGATAATGGAGCCGTGGAGGCCCAGGAGATCGGGCTCAAGTCGGCCAGTGTCTCCTCTTCCCTTCGCGTTGGCTTCTCGGAGCTGCTGAAACTCTATATGCTCATTTGTGCTGAAATCAAGGAAACGCCATCCAAACAGGTAGGCGTTTTCAGCGTATTCCATCACTCTAACCTCTTTAGGTGAAACGGGAAGCCACCTTAGCCTTCGGAGTGATCCGTAGATGTTTTAAAAACCACAATCTCTCCGGGTTTCTGATTACTAAGATCCGTGGTGTCATTTTACGCTAATGCGAATTGGTGAACATGGGATATACAAACTCCGCCTCCCCTTCTTCAGGTCATCGTGATAGCAACTGCGCGCCGAAGTTGGTGGTGATTTACAACTACCTCTAGGTGTCTTTGACGCCTTCCTATCTTTGGTATAAAGTTGTTCTGGGGTCAGTGTTGTACACGCGTCTCTAGCATGACCGCAGGCCCAATTTTACGAGATTTCCTGATCTGTCGGTTGCAGAATTTCGTCGGGAAACGTTCAGGACAGCCTTTTTTACTGCCATCTAAAAGCCATTCGTGAAAGCGCTGACGCCAAATTTAGTTGTCACCAAGTGCACTGTCCTAACACCGGTGTAATTGCCTGCCTCATCAAATGTGGATGTGTGCGACAGATTTACAGCACCAGGGCCATAAAATTATCATAGTCAAACCCCTAGCGAGCTCGCATGTGCTGTTTATGTGAGAACTCTGTCGTGGTGCGTAAGGCTCCACGCCCAACCTCTTCGGCTTCTTTTTTGCCACTGTTTCTCCTGCATTCTTCAGCCCCTAAATCGGTTTTTGTGTGGTTGACTTGACCAATCACGTATGCACCTTTTCGGGTAACGGTAATGACGCATGCAAACCCCACGACCGACCCATTTCGTGCCTGTAGAAGTTTGTGCCACTTGTCAACGTGGTTTTAATCTCTCCCACTCAAAACGCGCGCGCGAGCACACACTAAAGTTTGTTTACCGATTTAAACAAACTGGGGGAGGGGAGTCGATCGCTTTTAGACCGGTTTCCTTACAGTCACGAAAGGTAGCTCTAGTGCCATCACGCTTAGGACCACTGCCTGTCTCGGATGCAGCCTCTTTCTCCATTAATCAAAATGGGGATCGTGTTTGCCACGTGCTTCTCCATCTCTCGACCTTTAAGTTAGCCCCTTTTCGCCATCTTTAGGTCAGCGATTTGGCGAGTCGAGCCGCGATGTCCCTGGACACCGTCACCAAGGCCACCACCGATGACTCCACAGCCTCGGATCCAGCTGTGGACGGTGCGGTGTCCATCCCGATCTCCACCGATCCAGTCACTCCAGAGATGCTTGCCAAGCAGGCCGAGGATCAGACCACCATGGTGGGCCATCTGCGTCACGTGATCCAGATGTTCGCCGAGAAGAACGCTCGCCTCGCCAAAACCGTAAGTCGTCGTCGCGTTGTCTTGGTCAAGGTGTCGATGCCTTGGCTACCGTCTCCACGCTGCCTTAGGCCCGCCCACATCTGCCTACTTGGTCCGTGAAATTTGTCAGTCGTTCTTTCATTCGTTCGGTTTTTGAGGTCGTGCAAAAATGACTTTCCGAATTAGTACATCGCCAAAATAAACTGTTCGTTGCTGTTAGTCGCTTTCGAATTTTTCCCACTTGGTTGTCCAAACGTTGGAAATTAGCTGTTTGGATGACCCCTAAGCCAGTTGCAAACTCTTGTTGTGTTTGCGTTGAGTTTTTGTCCAGTAGAACTTGTAAATTCCACATCTTCAAACTTTCGAGGCTGCTTTCTGGGGCGTGGCTGGTCACTAAGACCGAAGTCATTTCCAGAGCGTTTGTACTAATAATTGCGCGTGCCACTAAACACAACTTCGGCACCGAAAACACGACAAATCGAATCTCGTGCTTTAAAAACACATTTTTTTCCTTTTTTTGAGTTGGTATAAAATGCGGTGCCAGCAAACTGCTGTTTCTAGTAGGTCAGAGCATCACACACAAATCAGAATCACGTGGACTGTATTTGACTTGACTTTCCGCTTGAAATGGAAGAGATTGTTACTTACAACAGCGAATAGCATCGCATGGCAAACTGAATTACAGTAAAACAAAGCCATCTACTCCGTGGAATCATACGGGTGCTGTGTGTTTGTTTGTTTGCTTGAGACGCTTAAGTGTCAACTGCCGGAATTGGCCAATCAAGGAGGAATTGTGCTCCGCCAGAATAGTGCACGGTTTCGAACACGAATTTGGTAACTCGTGGCAACTTGCTGAGCCATTAGGAACTTTAACAAAAGCCGACACCTTGTTTATTTCCTCTACACGGATTGTCTCGATTTTGCACGGTTAGGCAGAAATGTTTCTGCTTCATACGGTTTTAATTTGATCGGTCAGAGCGCGCTCTAATCGTTTTACGCCTTGGAAACAAGGTTTTTTTTAAATTTAAGTATAACTCGATTCAAATTCTTCTAACTCAGAGGTGCTTTAGCAGGATTCAAATATTTCGTACCGAAATCGGTTTCCCTAGTTGTGGTAACGTTTACATTTCAATTACTGTTTCCGCTCTTCATTTGACCACTCGACGTGCGCAGGTTTGAATTGGCCGCACCAATGCTGAGAGTTCATTGGTTGGTGGTTGCTCAAGTGCTCTTTTTTTACTCTTTTCCTATCTACGCCCTCCTTTGCAGCGTGCATAGGTGTGTGTGTTTGTGCGTGATACGATTTCGGGAATTTGACATGTCTTGCGATTGCATTTAGTAAAATTACTGCGTTGCAGATAGCAGTAAAGTCACCGAAGCTAGGCCAACTAGAGCTAAGTTGTGCGCAGCCATTTTTCCAAGCACGCAAATCTATCCCGCCTGGTCCACTGGTGATGCAAATCAATGTGTGCGTGTGTGTGTGTGTGTGTGTCAAATCTTCGTTCAACAGAATCACACGCGCATTCCACCGTCTGGTGGTGACGTGTCTGTCGAAAGCGGGTGTGCCTATTGGGCAATTCAAATCCCTCTGGCTTTTGACTGCGCCGGAAGGCATTGTATTCCCTCGGCGTCCAACGTCTCATTCCAAAACTCATCCACCGCCGGAAATCACCTCAGCGAGTGTCCTCAAGACTTCGAATCGCCGCAATCGATCACAGGAGAGAGCACAATTCCTCCATTTAACGTCTCGAGGTTATTCAAGCCCCAAGGTCGTTTGGAGGGCGATTGTAACTCCCAATATCGATTGGCTGTAAATGTGGCAAATTCAAATCTAGACCGTCGAGCCAGTTTCATTGTTTCGTCTTGTAATTTCCTTGCTCGTTTTATCAGTGAATTTTTTAATCAGCAGACATGCCTGAGTCACCGTCCTCGCTTTCTCAATTACCTCGAACCGTCAATCTTCAAACCCACGCCAGTTTGCTCAAGTAATTCGTGTTTCCACAAACGTCTCCGTGAGAACGTGCTACGCATGTGATTTCTAACTGCTACGCTTGGTTTCACCAACCTCGTGCCTATTAACCAAGCTACAATTTTTATTCAACTAGGGCCAAATTGGTCTTGTACAATCCACTGACGTGTTGAACTCTTGGCTTTAGGCTGCTAGCGGTGGAGCATCCCAGGATGTTGAGGAGTTGCAGGCGGAGATACTCTCGTTGAAGTCCAAGTTGAGCACCAAAAGGGACCAGGTGATTGCTCTGCGCGACGTCCTGAAGGCCAACAAGACCACCGCGGAGACGGCTCTGGCGAATTTGAAGCAGAAGTACGAGAACGAGAAGATGATAGTCACTGACACCATGCGTGGTCTGCGCTCGGAGTTGAAGGTGCTCAAGGAGGACGCCGTCACGTACGCCTCGATTCGCGCCATGTTCGCCCAGAAGCACGACGAATTCGTCACGCAGATGGACGAGCTTCAACAGAAGCTCAATGTAAGGCGCTGCTGGTGTTGTTGTTGTTGTGGCAACTTGGTTTGTCATGCCAGCTGTGCAACACTTCACGATAGTAATCTTATTAAACCGTTTCACTCGTTCAACACGAAGGACAAATCTTGCTAATCTTTGCTTATCTTTGTGTAGACGTGGAGTTTAGCTGTCGAAAAGGATGTTTGTTCCTTCAAAAATCCAGAATCTCGGTGTGTTTTCGAAGTTTAAGGTCAAATTCTTAGTCGTAATTCGACTATAAGATTCCCTTCATTTCCACTGAATTGCAACAAGTAACAGGTAAATGTGTGTGTGGGCATGTTGCTTAATTTGTTTAAATAGATCGAAGTCAAGTAATCATTGTCACCTGTTACTGGACTTTGTTCCAAATTTGGGAGCCTCTTGTTGTGGACATCACAACACCAACTCATAATTGTGATTAAGGTATCAGCTACGTCGTCGTCTTAATAAACTCGACGTTTTTTGCCCAGTTCGGTGTGGCTAAGTTTTCGTAGGCGCCCGTGGTAGGCAAAGTCTGTCAGCACGCGTAAGATTTCTATCTGGCCGCATCGTCCAATGAGCGCTCTTCATTTACGGTGTTGTCGCGTTAACAGTGTGACCGCGGTCAGTCGATTCGCATGCAACTGGTAATTTGGGGTTGGAAGGAAGGAAAACATAAGTTATTGTTAAAAAAATGTAATTCTTTGCTAAGAAGCGTTTATTTTATTCCTATGAGTCCGTGAATGGGAAATTTTTAATATGCCTACCTTGGTGCTGTTTTTGTAAAAAAACCATGAGCTCATAGTCGGTAGGTAAGTGTCGCACAAGCTGTAGTCGTGTCTAACTGATTAAATCGAAATTTCACCGATTAGTGGTCAAAAAACTGTAGCTCGGCGTTAAGCGAATCGGGGGGTATGCCCCGGCTCCTATTTCGCCTCTCCTGATTGGTCAATAACTTGGCTGGGATATCGCACGCTTCCCATGCAGGCAGCTTGGATCGATTCTTGTACGTTCATCCCATCGGTAACGTCACCATATTTCTTGAAACTCCCTACGTTTTGTACAGCTAGCAAGTCAACAATTTGAGTCTTATTACATTGTGCCTGGTTTTCGATGCACACCATTTCATATCGACCGCCCACCTTTCCAGCCCTCACCTCATTGGCTCTTCTGATTAACGTTATCGAAGTCCACGAGATGTATAGTCTCTGTATTTTAATGTTTTCTAAAATTCCTGCTTCCATACCACAATGTAGAGCGATCATGTTGTCCCGAATTGTGCTTGATACTGTCACTTCATCAGACCAAATCACACATTTGAAAATGCTGGCTTATGATTGGCGCATTTTCATATAGGCCGCCTTGTTTATCACCCAATCAGCGCGCCATATTCCTAATAACGATTTAAGGGATATTTACCGTAATTGTTTCATGCTTCTCCTACTTATCCCGTTTTTATGCAATAAGTGCTACAAATGTTTGGTGCTGCCTAGGTGAACTAATCAACCAATGCCATTTCGACAGTTATTCCTAAGCACATTGTACCTAGTGTTGGTATTGCGTGACTTTGCTTGCACCTCTGATTCACGCAGTGTTTCGCAGTGTCTAGTCCAACAAAAAAATATCCACCTCGGCGTGTGATTGGCGCGTTCGAAAGCGGCGCCAGTTGTTAATGTTCGCAGTTGCAGATCTAGTCTTGTTTTTTTTAAACAAAACTCTTGCTTTTGTGTGCATGCAGAGCGCAGAAGACGAGAAACGCACGCTGAACTCGTTGCTGCGTCTGGCAATCCAGCAGAAACTCCACCTCACCCAACGCCTTGAGGAGTACGAGGTGGCGCAGATCACTCCCGACTCGGCGTCGGCTCGCTACCCAGCCGCCCCGGTAAGAATCTTTTCTTGTGCCACACACACACACACACACACGAGGCTTGCGATTTCCGCTGAGTTGCGATCGGTGGGTCATATAGCGCCCATGAACTTATTCCTACCCCATCGACACTTTTTACAGACCTCCACAGCCTCCTATTCCACCAAACCCATCGACAGCGTCTAGAACCGTACGTTTTGTCTTCGTGGTGGTCACGCATGGCGTGTTTTTGAGTTTGATTCGCGCAATTGGTTGCCTTGGTTTTTGTGTGTGCGTGTGTACGTGTTTACGCTCGCAGTGTTAGGCTAATGCTGCATGGCCCTTGTGAGTTCGCCAATCAAATCCTCGTCACGGTCACCTCCAAATAATCCATTTGACACTCCAGAATCGCCATTTTTTGCTACCTACAGTAGCGTGTGGCTTTATGCTTGTTTTTTGTTTGTTACTTATTTCTAATTTCGGCTCCCACAGCACACACATGTTCTTCACCCACTTTCGCGGCTCGTGCGATTTCATTGGTTCCCTGCGGTCGTTTTGATTGGTTGGCTCTGCGAATTGCGTTGCATCAAGTAAATATCCATTTGTGGATTCGCCGTTAAACCTGGCGCCTGCGTACTCCCTGATGTGACTCATGCTGCATTGCTGAGTAAACACATCGCAAAATGGGGGTGCTGTAGCAGCGCACTGCTGAGTTGTCGTGTGAGTAAACATTGCTTTCGCCATGCCTCGAACGCCTATTGGTTAGTTCAGCCAAGAACGTGACTTGCACCCTAAAACAAGTCACTGTCGGGTGAGGTCGTCTTTCTTAAGGCATCGAGCAATCAATTTTACTTCCACGTCGTCTGCAGGTGTTAGTTTGAGGTGCTGAGCTCACGATTTAGCGTCCGGGGACGTTATCGTCGCACGCATTCATACATTTTGCGTGTGTGAGATGAATCTGCGTTTGAAAGTCCTGATGCTACGCAAAAGACGGCTACGTGACCCCAGGCAGATGGACCTAAATGTCTCAGCCAATGAACGACGAATATGTCACTTGGAAAATGGGCCAATGGGAGGGATTAATTGTGCACAAAATCAAAATCCTACACCACTGTTTGGTTGTTCCGATGGCGCTTTTGCCACTGACGAACGTGGAAAGCATCGGACATCATGCTCATCTGAGTGTTGAGCGTCGCCGTCTTTGTCTTCGACGGAGCTGATGTCGATGCCTCACTGACAGTATGCAACGGATCATGTCTTGAAGCGCACAGATGCCTTCACCTCACTTAGGGCACCAGATTTCAGCCGTGAAGACTCAGCGAGCTTGAAGCGCATTCGGAATGTGAAGGAGTCCCTGTTTTGTAAGATATCGAGCGATGTAGCCTTCTCTCAAGGGCTTGTTGAAGGCCCTGACACTTGATCCGAAACCCCAACGAGTTTGACTTGTTTTACGAAGACACGAACACTAGAGACCTGGTCGATTTACTCGCGGCTCTGTCCATAAAAATCGTATTCCACTAAATTGGGTTGTTGATCGCTAGAGTTTGGATGAACTTGTAAAAGTACGAGTGGCTGAACGCCCAGTTGAATGTGTTGTGGGCCCCGGCATGTGGTCTTGAACCACGCCGAAGCCACGGATTATGTTTCCCTGATATGCGCGATGAAGAAAAAGATTAGAGAGGACGTGGACACAAGCGTTTACTTCCAAGCTCAACCAAAACTGGTGTCGTTGTGTTGTGTGTGGTGTTCGCGCGTGTGTATTTATACCTCGGACATGTGAGTCATACATGCACTAACATCGAGACCTAGGCGTGGGGATGCTCCAGGATTAATATCCGTGTAAATGAGGGGGGAAAAGGGGAACCCTGTGTCGGAGGTGGAGCGGCCGAATTAAGGCATGAGGTCTGACAAGTCCACACCTTTTACATTTGACCTGAAACGGCCAAATTGGAAACACAGGTGGAGCACACTCATTTTCGTTGTGGTATGGGGGGGGTTGATTAGGCACAAGGCGTGTAGATTCGTGACCGTTCACCTGCGATCTGGTTTTTTCTCGTCAAATATAGCCGATGCGCATGTTCGGCGGTGTTGATCCGACAGGCGGCCTTCCGCCACACCTCTACCCCCCGCCTCAGCCATCACAGGGCGGAGTGATGGCGTCGAACGCCCCATTTTCCCCCGCCGCAGCGACCTGGCTGAGGGCCACCCCTCAGTTGCAGTGTCCGCCGCACCCCGCAGCCGCACCGGCCTTCGCGTTCCCCCCGCCGTCGTCTTCTCAGACCGCCTTCTCGCCGACTCAGCCAGGCGTCGCCTTTCCCCCGCCCAACACCACCGCAGTCCTCAATATCACCCCTGCTGACCCCTCCCTCGGCGTGAGTTTACGTGTCACCGTTGAAATGCACGTGATTGGTCTAATTCAGGGCCACTCGTAACCCCACAGGCGTGACCTTGACTTGGACCAATAATTTGCGCTTACCGTTTGTTCTGATTGGTCAATTTTACTCGGTTATGAGGGTTGCTCTTGAGTGTATTTTTTTTCTGATACCTTGGTTGTAACCGGAATTTGTGCATCATTTTTAGCGTCAACACCGGCCCCAGCGACAGCAAAATGGTGCTAATTAGAAGCGGTCTTGATTCCCCCGCCTTCAGACACCACTCATTTCGCCTCCAGAACAGGGAAATCTGCCTCGTTTTGCACACACTACTTTCGACAATGTC